AAACGACTTACCGAACTTTCCAGAAAGTGTCCGTTATTAATATTACACTGTACGTGTCCAACTTAATATATTTGTCTTCACTAAAAAGTTGATGATGGCCTTAAAAAATATCATTATAAAAACTTCATTTGAGCATTGGATGTCCTTTTACCTGTAGTTTAATAATTCGTTTCTATTTTCATTTCAAAATTTGTAGGAATGAAATCGGAATAAAAGAACACTTTTGTGTAGAATTAAATGTTGCAATTTACCCAAGAAAGTGATAACTTCACACCAACTTTAGATTTAAGAATTTTGGTTATTATTACCTCTAACTGTTGCTTGCCATGTTACAAATAAATATTTATTACACAACATTAAAGAAAACTAATTACTTACGTCTAATTTTATATCTCCTAAAGCCCACCTACGTATTTTACTTAACCCTATAGTCTGAAGACTTTAATAATGACGTTACAAAAGTACAAAGATGTTAATTTATGTGCACATTTTTTTTACAAATTTTATGAAGGTATGATCTTTTACGTTGTCATTTTTATACATGTTTTTTTCTTGTTCAGTGTAATTAAATACCTTTACATTGTCCTTTTTTAAGCCGTTCTATTTAGATCAAATTACAAAAATGACCTTTTCAATGGAAGATACAATGCGTGTTTCATTACTATGATATCATATGTATGGTGCAGTTGAGTTTGAAGTTTAAAGCTTGAAGTATGCAGTTTTGGTATTTTTCATTGACATTTTCCTTAGTCCAAAGTACTGGTTTTTCCAGTAAATACTTGAAGTTTTAAGTATATAAGTTACCATAAATCGGACAACTACCGACTTCCATAAAATTAATTATTCAAGAAGACAATATGCGTTTGAGGTTCTTGATTGTTTTGAAAAAAATAATCAAGAAATATTGATAACAACGTTAAATAAAATCTTTTTGTTAAACAAGCCACAGATTTTTACGTCCTTAAATTTGGTTATAATTGTACGACCAATTTTTGAGTTCCGGCTAAGTAAAGTCAGAGTCACATAAGTTAGAGATGCAGATACTTGACTAAAAACTACATAAAAGTGCTCAAGATATCTCAAAACACGCAGATTTGTTGAAATCTTCACACCAAAATTTTTGACGTTTTTCAAACTGTCACTGAATATCAGTGTTTTGTGAATTTGGTGAAACTAACTTACTAGTTTAAAACTTATAACCAGACTTCGGCGGCGCGGAAGTGATGATCATTGTCGTCCGATTGCCAGCACTGGTGCAGTCGTGGCTTACAACTTAGGGAATTCTTAATAACAATTACTACTTTTTTTAGATTTTCCTCAGTTACACGAGTTCTCCTAGATGTCAAAATGCTTTAACAATTAAAAATGACTGTTCAACATCACAATTTTCGTGATGATCTTGATTGGATAAAGCCTGAATTGCATCAAACGCCACTGAGGTTGAGACTGCACATCGATCAGCCAAATTTATCGACTGACGTCGCGCCGGCGTTTTTAATATTTGTCTGATTGATTCCCCATCACTTCGACGATGTCTAACTCTGCTTATAACTGTACAATTTAAAACTGTAATTGTAAAAAGTAATTTAAAAAAATATCTGTGCAGTAATTGGTGGAAACCATGTTCACGTTTAAATGTTTTCAATAAGACTACTCTAGGAGCTGTTAAACTCTAGGAAGTGAGGATATTCTGTGGCCGTTACATGTTGTGGTCTATAAATGACTATAATCTTAAATTGAACCAACCAAGTGTTTAGGTGAAAAAGCTTGACAGAAACGCAAAAATACGGTTACGATACGATGAAATCAAAAACTGTTTCTTTTAGCGTTGACTTTGGTGTCTTTGTCAAAACTGAAATTGCGGAATTGAATGAAAAACCTGAAGAAACATAAATTTTGCTCGTAGTTTTATGACTGACATTTATTGATGTTTTATGTTTCAAATTATACTAATTAGTACTAGGTAAAACTTTCTAAACACTTGTCTTACTGATTGTCGCCATATATTATATAGTGATATTGAGCTTCTCACTTTTAGGTTTTTTTTCTGTAAATCCAGAGTTAACATAGTTTTCTTAGTTTGTACGATGGCAACAAATGACACAGTGAATATGAGCACGGGACTACTAATTAAGCACTATAAGCTAAACTTTGTTTATATATTACTTTTTAGGGTTATGAATTATGTCAGAAACTTAACCATTGTTGCCAGCCTAAATGTCATCAAGAAACATTGTTACTATAGTCTTTGCCATTTCTATTGAAACACCACTTGTTAATGGTAAATTTGGCAACGTTCATATTCAGACAATTTTCTAACTAAAAGCCGTTGTCGATTAACCGAAAGCTGTTACCAATTGCTGAATTTTAAGCAAAATCAACAGGTGGTGTTTCAATAGAAATGGCAAAGACAATAAGCCAATTAAATTTGCAAATTGTTTCATAATTTTCTAGTGTATTTTCACAAGAATTATGCATTTTTCTTCATAGGAGTACTGCAAACCTAAGATCTTTTGCGGATAGTAAATTTACTACCTAAAAGTAAACTTTACCTGTTACAATTTAATTTTGAAAGAACGACTACACTTGTCTGCTAATCTTCAGCACATAAGAGAAACACAATGAATGCTAGACAACTCGTTGGAATATGCTGTACTAATGAGATCCAACAAGATCGAAACTACAGTCTACAGCTTTCCAACGGGTTGTCTAGCCTTCGGTGTGATAAACACTATGCAACGACTACACTCTGGTACGATGCAATTAAGTATTAAGATTTTTAGTTATCATAATATCAGATTCGAGTTTAGACTTGTCTAGATAATGCCAACATAACAAATATTTTTGTTGTCTGTTCTGTAATATAGTAACGTTATATAGTATGTTAACAAGTAGTTTAACCGTCCAATTTTGAAAGTGTCCTGCCTAACGTGTTGTGGATTAATCTCTGTCGTTATTTTTCGAATTTAATAAAATGTTATACATATCAAATGTAACATTACAAAAACTACGTCAGTTAGTCACGGTAGCCAACAGAATAAAAAACATGGCCTACTAACATCCGAAAAGATCGTGAATGTCTTTCATGGCAGACTTCATTTTCTGACTGTTGTACACGTGTTTCTTTTTCTATTATTTGACAAATTATGAAGACATGCATAATGGGATATGTTTTAAAGTCATTTTGAAAAAGTATTTGCCCCAAATATTTCTTGAAACGTAATAAAGTTCCTTTTATCATGTAGAAAAAAATAACCTTTTAAAAAAACAAAGTCGTCATTTCCGGACCAATCGTGGGCGCTGTGATCACTTTTGGGTTTCTAAATAAACTTTTTGATAGCTGCTTTGTGCGTAGCAGCTTTGAGATAATCTCGTCTTTAATTTGAGATAGAACACCCTGCATATGTTATAAACTTACGAAACAAAAAAGTAATTTCGGAACCGTTACTAATTCATAAGGTATTAAAAGTATCAGAACCTAAAATAACACTGGCATTTATTATGTATCTCAGAAGTACTTAATTATATAGTCCAACAATACGTACAATTATATCAATAATTTATATACAAATCAAAAGAAAGTCAAATCAGTGCCTTTAAAGTTTGAGTAAGATTGTAAGTAAAGTTTATAATAATCAACATTTATTTACAAAGATAACTATCTATTTAATGAAGCACTAAAGTTAAGTGAAAGAGTGAGAGGAATCATACAAACGAAATATGCCAACATCGGCGAATAAAAACAAAATATCTTTTTTGCAGAAGAAGCCAGAAATCTTGACACTAGTCAGTCGTGTATTAAGCAGAACTGTCATTTGATCCTAACAAACTTTAAGCACAAACAGAGAATTTTGTCGACGTCTTAAAAATTCATTATTAAGACCCACCACTGACCCGGAAATGACCGGCATTCAGGCAAGACTTCTATCATTACGGGTACTAAGACCAAGTAATGATATGCATTGATTATTATTATTATTGTTATTAACATTGTGGAAATACATTTTATTGGTGTGCATGTTGACCCCAAATTTTTGTTCTAATAATGTTAATGAATTTATGTTATATTTTTTATGCAAACTAAACACTGCATAAAACGTTAGTGCATAATATCTACAGATGATAATGACCTAAAACTTTCATTAGCTTCTACAGTTTTTCTTAGCGCTACCTACATGATTTCAAATGAAATCGGCAAATAACAAAGCTTTCGTTTACACGGTTACATAAATTATGACTTTTTTTTCAATGTAGCCTTTCGGTATGTATGACATATTGTTGAAGGTCGGTACAAATGAACCAAAAGGTGAAATGTGTGTCCGGTAAACAACATTGTAATGTATACATAACATGTGATATGTGTGTTTCACTGTAACAAGGGTACAATAAAAAGCACACACAAACAGTGGAGAGGAGTCCAATAGCAAATTAATGGCAATGATGTTGTTGAAAGATATCTGCGTAAACTTACTTTGTATTGCAGGTCGAAAAATCATTTAAATATACGACACTTCAAATGGCAACAATTCAATACTGTTACATTCCAGATTATTTTCGTATATAGTTTATTAGTCATAATATTAAACATTTTCTTTCTATAGAAATGGTGGATGCGCCGGGACAGTCATTTACTATACAATAGTTGATTGTTGTCTGTAAAATGGGATAACACTGCTGTTGGGAATATTATAGCCATAACGACTTTTACTAAGATTAGAATCGATTATTAAAAAGTATAATTATGTTTTACCAACGTTTTTGTTGATCGCCGTTGATCTCTTGTAGTCACCTTTTTGTGATCTTCTGGTCCATTCCGACACTTGACAGATCTAAACCATTACCAGAAGAAGTGCCTTATTTAAAATATGTCATATTTAAATCGACAGTTATTTTTAAAGTGATTAATTTAAAAGTGCTGACATTAGTAATTTAATGAACAACCATTTATAAACTCTTTTTACAACCTACCTAACTTGTAATTCTTTTCTGTTTACTTTCAGATCGACTCAGATTTAGTTTTCGAAAATTTAGAGCAAACAGATATAGCAAGTCACGAAAATCATCATAGGATAGCAAAAGATACGTCCAAAAATGAAGAAAATTCCGTAGATTCTAGTCCATCAGTGGATGAACACTGGTTATCAAGCACTGTAAATAGAATTAAAAGGCATATTAACAGCTTTCTTTCTACAAATTCAAAAGTAAATCATGCGGAAAGGAAAGGAAAATCGTCGAAAGTTCCTAGAAGCAGAAGCAGTCCGCGCAGCAAACGAAAAACGTGGAGAGTCCGCAGACAGGGTAGTCAAGAAGAGGCTGATGAAGAATATGATGATGAGGATGACGGTGAAGGTGCAGAAGATGATGATAATACTTATGATGAAGAAGATGTAAGTGCAACATTTCTTTTTTTAGCAGTCAGGGTATTCCGAAAAGTTTGACACTGCAGATTTTCTACGCTATTCGGACACAAATGTCAACCACTGTCCCAGTTGCTTTACTAAAAAGCAAAGTTCTAAGTTGTGTGTCAAACAACAATTGTAAATAGCTTCTCACCTAAATTTAATTGGCCTCCAAAAATATTTAACAAATTTTCCTCTCTTATGCACTCTAAATTTCCGGCAAACAAATTTTATCAATGGAAATTAAAAAAAAAGTCGTCCAGTTGGCGCAACGTCATAATGAGAGTTTAAACCCTCGGCTAATAATAATTTGGAGCTAACTAAGGGATGTTTTTTTTTTAATCACACTTTAGTATATATGTGTACTGATTTTTTTCTTCCAATAAGCACAATCGGAGCCACAACATCTTGGACGTCATTTTTATGTCATTTTGAAAATTTTGATGTATTGTCACTTTGACGTTTGAAGTTTAAAAGATTTGTTACGTCGCATCCAGTATCAGTATGTCCGCAGTATCAAAAATAACAAAACTGAAAAAAAAAAAGTTTACAGTACTGTTTCACAATTTGTACCAGTAGAATTATATTGATGTTCAGGATTTTCTGGTAGGTGCATTTGTCAAACTTTTGGGGTTACACTGATTAATATGTGTACATATGGTAGTCCTGATTTTAATTTAACACTATGTCAAGTTGGTTTCCGGAAATATGTTTGTTAATATTGTGTTTTACTTAATGTGAATTTCTTTCTTCAGCATCAAACAAGTAATACAGGGTGTAAAATCAATGAGCACAATTTATTTAAATGTAATCTTTTTATGTGTCTCATTTTAGGAAGAAAATGAAGAGACGGATAACCAGAATGGTGAATATGATGTAAGTAGTAGATTTTCGTTTCGGAAAGTAGCTTAGTCTCAGTTTTAACACTGTTGCTTTTCAGGATGGAGGTGACGAAAATGAGAACGAGGTATGTTACTTTTTCTTGTATTAGGCTTTACAATCAGAGTTTATCTTTGAAATTACGATGCGACATATATATTTTTATTCATAATTTTATTCTCGTCCATTTTTACTTTATACTATTTTTTTCTTTTTTTCTTGTATTTCGGGACTCGTGGGCATAACAAATAAGAAGAAGTGATGTCTTCTACGTCGACAGTTTCGGAGTTTATTTTACCGCTTTTTCAAGACGTTCAGTTATAACTAAGACGCAAATGGTAGTTATTATTGAACGTCTTGAAAAAGCGGTAAAATAAACTGCGAAACTGTCGACGTAGAAGACACCTTTTCTTCTTATTTGTCCACGAGTCCCGGAATACAAAAAAAAAAGTATATATTTTTTTTAATAATCCAAGAGTTGATTGAAAAATAACAACGGTGTCATTTTTAACATATTACGGTGTTGAGATATTCTGTGGACCGATATATTGAGATACGTGTTTTTTTGTGCCATTAATAAAATTTAATTTTAACAAACAATGTTTATAAAAAAATTCTAAAAATATGTAATGCAATTTTCAATTGTCTAATGTCTCTTAAAAAGTGAAAAATTGCAATGACTATCAACTTTAGACATGTAGTTAGACGTCTTCACAAAAAAGAAAGGCATTAAAAATACAGTAAGATGCAATAGTAAAATACAGGATTTTCTGTACAAAAATTTATGATTTTTTTATAAACACTCTGTATATTTAAGACTCAATTTTATTGGTACCGCAACAAAGCCTCTGTTTATCTCTTTATAAAATATCTCAAAGTAAATATTAAAAATAACTCGTTTTTTTGTAATAATCTCTCGCTTCGTAAAAAAAAATCATGACAATTGGGGTAACGTGGCAACATGGCATCTGAGTTTCAGAATAAATTATGGTTATAAAGCCTAAGAAGAAGCCAATGAGAATATGTAACAATAGTATTAGTGAGTGTTCTATTTAAAAAACTAAATTGTATATTACACCTTAAAAGAACATTCTGTATAGTTGAAAATATTCTTTCATAGAGTATATACAAAAAAAAATGTAGGAAATAAATTACACTTTGTGTACTATTTAGGGCTGCTCGTTACTTTTACGTACGGTGTTGTCCGCTCAGGGTATTTTCATTTTTATGCAGTATCCTAAAATTCCTTGTTATTTTCCAACCATTTTTTTTTTCTTTTTTTAAATTGTGTATTTTACGTGTGTCCACTTCAATAATTATTATGTAATTCTAAACTACACTGAAAAACAAAAGCAAAATGTTTGAAATAAGCTGTAATCTGAATTAATTTAGTATGAGGAAGGAGACCTAGATGAAGATGGGAATGGTAATGGTGAAAATGGGGGTAATGAGGACGAATACGAGGATGAAATGGTAAGCTCCAAAACTTATACCAAGATCAGTAAAATATATTTCTTTTTTTTTCATTTAGGAACCTGAGAAAGGAGACGAAGAAGAAGGCGAAGAGGAAGGTGAAAATGGCGAAGATGATAATGGCGACTATGGGGTAAGCTTTTTTAATGCTGTTGTATGTACTTATATACAGAGTGGCTGCTGTCACAAAAAGCAAATATTGAAAATATAAATTTGTAGGAACTTTCATCATAATTATTTTAAAAGATGAAACGCCAATTACATGAATTTTATTACAGTTGCTCTTCAAAGTAACAAACTGTAAACTGATTTTCATGTGACAATAAATACTCTGACTATCAGCAAGAATTTATAATTACGCTAAACGAAAAATGAAGCAGACAGTAGAAAAATAACTCACAATCCTAAATATAAATTTACTTTTAAAAAGCAGACAATAATTGTGTTTTACTTGGTTATTTGATGAAATTGGAGTAAAATAAGACTATTTAGGTGCTCCCAAAAATAATAAAGTGCTAGACGCACCAGTCACGTCGAAAGTGTGACTCCTGAGAGGAGTGAGGCGTCAGGAGTTCACTGTTTACCAATACATTTTAGTACAGTTTCGAGCGTGCTTTTGGGGGTAAATACAAATTCAAAAATAAAACTTATGGGTATTTCAACAAAATTTATTTAATCAGTAGACTTCTCACACGTTCTCGCATTTCGTCATGTTTTTGCTACTTCACAAAGTAATCCTTAAATACTGTAGTTTAACTCACTGATAAAAACAGTACTGTCTAGTTGACTCGCGAAAACGGTTATCCATAGAGTCACGAATGTGTACGACCACATCACGAATAGAGCATACGGTCACGTAAGACGAGTTTATTTTTCGTTTGTTTATGTGTGTCCCAAACAAAAAAGCAGCCACGTAGTCTAGTAATACAACGTCTTTGGGAGTCTCCTATTTGAAATCTGTCTAGGCAATCAAAACAACAAAACTTGTTCAAATATGTATATGCAGTTCAATAAAATTAGTTTTTTTAATCATTTTACGAAATTAAATCAAAAAAAGATGATTGACAACCTGATGGGCAGCATAAGTAAAACTTCCAGTTACACAACTGTGACTGTCAACGAAAAACAGAATCCCTTTCGGAAGGTTTGATCTAGAAATTCGGTGGTGTGAGTGTCGGTCAGCTTTTGCACGTTTAATTTCTTTCTTTGATTAATAATACTGGACAACTTGAGTTATTTTTTGCTGTATATATACCTCAAAATACATTTGTTCTCAATATTTTTATAGAATGGTGAATACGACGAGCATCCTTTGCAACCAGAAATACCAAGAGTAAGTAAACATTTTGTCATATTTTGTGGAGTGTATCAAAAAATTGTCAACCATTACCTCAAATTTTTAGCCGTCGCAAACAGAAGCTACTTTTGTTGGCGTTTCTGACATTATACCACCCAGTACAGAACAACAAGAAACTACGAGTGTTACTGTAAGTGTATCAAAATTTTAATTACAACGTGCCACGTAAGTATGAAAGTAACGTATAGTTACTAATAAACTATATTTGCAGGAGATTCCCCTTATTCAGGAACCTTCGCCAACAGAAACAGAAGTCTCCGTAAGTTGGGCGTTGGGATCAGCTTCTAATCCACCATAAAGAATCATGTACACCCTGTATATTTTAACTAACATTGCCTACTTATATCGAATTATCATGATCTTTATCTATATCTTTGTGTGCATTTTCAAGCTGCCTTTACACCCTCTTACAACGCATTTACATCATTTCTGCGAGCATTTGTCTATGTTATGTGTCTTGTTGTATCTCATCTTATTTCTCCCACTGTTAATATTGCTTATTAATCTATTATCATGTTACAGGAGGATCAGAGAGGATTCAACCTTTTCAAGGTTAGTTACAGGTACTTTTCTAAGTATATTAAATCTAATCAAATTCGCTTTTTACAGCCCGAAGATAACTACTCTAGTCCAGAAGCACGCAACCACACTGTGTAAGCAAATACTACTTTTCAATAATCCTTAGTTGTAATTGAGTTATTAGAAAAAATATTTTTATAAGTTAAGTAAAACCCGTAGTGGAAATTTGTCTATAACTTTTTGAATTGTCTCTTGTTGGTGATTTAATTAAACACATCATTTTCGAAACTAATAACCTGATTGTTCAAAAGTTTGATGATGTCATCTAACCTTTGTAAATCTCGCTTAAAGTTTAAAATGTAACGTGCTCTTTTATTTGTGGTTTAGTAATTTTAGTGATACGTACATATACAGATTGTAAAAACATAAAATTTCTGAATATATATTTTTCAGTTTATTTTGGAAATCTATACGAAACGATTTTTTTTAAGTTTTGAAAATGTACTAATAGAACAATTCAAATTCAATTATTGATTTTCTCTAGAAAGTTAAGCACGTCATCGCATAATTTAAATTAAAAAACGACTTGTTAACCATAATTTAAAAACATTGTTAACTCAGTTTTGTTTGGAATTTATAGTGTGACGTTCTTTTTTATTTGTGGTTTCATATTATGGTAGTGATAATATACAGGTTATATAAAAAATAAAATTTGTAAAATTATGTTTTACGGGTTGGTATGAACTAAATGATTGTTTGCTACGTATTTCGGTAAAATAGTCACAAAAAAATATTTAAAAAATCAATGGTTCATTCCCCTTAGAAAGTTAAAGACGTCATTGCAAAAATCTGCTGAATAAATAATAATGAATGAATGAATTGACTAAATGAGACACGGTTTATTTAATTTTTTCAAAGTTTTGGAAACAGGATACTTTTTCTTGTTTTAATATATTGACGTAAATTAAATTTACATAGTCGACTATTAAAGGTTGTCCAATCAACTAACGGGATTTATTTGATTGTGCTTCAGATGCAAGGGAAATTCTGTCAAATAACTTTAGACCAGAAACAGGAAAGTTGCACCCACTTTTCATGTTGAAAACGTCATTTTAAAATAAATAATATTAAAACTTAGAAAAATTGTAAAGTGGTAGCATGATTTTTTTTAACATTTTACTAATAAGACAACGTATGTCACGCTATACACGTGTGGTGAAAAGAATGTCTGTTACATAGGTCAACCATACATTCAATTTGTTTTATTAAAATATAATAAAATAATAAACATAAAACTTCCTATTGAAAATCTTTAAATTGAATCGATTATACTCGTATATTTTACGCTTTTCACAATAATGATGCTTCATAAGAAATACCGATAAGTGGCAGTTTGTAGTTTTTTAACTTTTTATGAGATATAGTAAATTCTGGTTTTTAATAAATAAATAAATTCAAACATTCCTAACATTTTGTTTAACGTTTCATGACATAATCTTTTGCATAAATAAACAATGTGTACGTATAAGTTTCGTAAATACTGTTAAATTTTATTTTAAAGGCCATGTCATAAATATTTTAATAGTAAAATGACAATAGATGCTTTGATCATGTTGAAGGAGTAGTGTCTTCTCAATTTTTTTAATATCAATTATGTATATTTGTTTTTCAAGTGCATCTAGACGAAGTTTCGATTATTCACTATTTTCCTTAATTTTTGTATTAAAAGTGCCTTATTAATAAATTAATAATGAATTGGGAATATAGGTATTGCGATTCCCATAGTGAAAAACTAAAACGTTTGCACATACACATACAGCCTTTGCTTAAAACCGAAAAAATAATGTTCTTCCACTAAAAATAAACTCAAATGAAATTAACAACAAAGAAGTTAACGGGTAATTAAATGATTTTAGGTAGTTGGTAACAAGATACTCCTCAAATATTACAACGGAATTAAAATAAATCTAAATGAAATTAATTTAATTAGAACTTTTAATATTTGTATTGCATTCTACATACTTTAAGTAAGTTGTAAAAATCAGCTCTGAGATAATATTCAAATTAGAATGTAATTACCATATGATCCAACATAAAGTTCTTTAGCAGACCGTGCAGCTATTTGACACTTTATTTGACAGTTATTTGATCGTAACTGTCAAATTGAACAAGGAACGCGTTGGTGTTGCCAACATCGTTATTTTAAAAATAAATTTCGTGACCTGCTAGAGGACTTTCCATCATATCGTACTGTTTTACGTGTTATGTTTGTAGCAAAAAGAAATCTGATTGATATAATGTGTATCTATACTTCGTTAAAATCTCAAAAAATCTAATTTTAAAAGGTTGAACATGGAAGAATGATTTAATTATACGAAATAGAAATATTTTGAGAAGCCAGTTGACAAAAAAATGTGGATCAAAGCGTGTTGGCACGACACTTATTACAAATACATTAACACTATAACATTTAATACCCCACAACACCGAAAACACAAAAGTTGTTGACGCGTTTCGGCAACTAGTTGGCATTATCTAAACACAATTACATGGTTTATTTAAAACAATTATCGTGCACTGGGTGGTTAAAGTGTATTCCAAACACGTTCAACATTTGTAATTTTTTTTCTTCTATTCATAAAAGCGATTTGCTACTTACAATATCACTGACGAATAGATTATCTAATAGTTTTTATGTCTACCACTTTAATTTGAATAACAACATTTTTTACTAAAAATTAAACCATGTCCTTACAACTTAAAAATGCCGACGAAAAATTCAGTTGCCAGTTTATTAACGCCGAACTTTTCTTGTCTCATTTAAACGTCTATTTATTTGTTCTTTGAGATAAAGTCATCCAACTTCTTGGAGCGGATTACTAAACACACTAAAAAAAAATCAAAGAAAGGTGCGTGTTATAGCCTCGGAGGAAGATTATAAAATTAACTATACAAAGTTCTTTTCTTAAAATCCGTAAAATTATGAAGTTAAAATTATAGGTGGATTGCACTAAAATAAAGAATCACAACAGACTGCTCATTGAGGTGCGGTGTAAGATCGACTTCATCAAACTGTTTAGAGAATACATTTCATTAGCTTCACAATAGTGTTAGTTTAAAATTTCAAAACTATGTAGTCCATATTTTTTTACCAACATACTATAAGCAGTCAAGAACGAAAAACCAGTATTTCGTGATTTAGTTAGACACCATGAAACATCAGTCAAACAATTAAGTATACGTCACAATTTAAAATTTATCCAGAAAATACAATTTGCGTGAAGAAATTCTAATATCGCTATTATCAGGCCACCAGCAATACACCGACCTGTATTGCAAGCTGCTAGTTTATTATGGAGAGAAGCGGGAATGAAAATCCAATGGTGCCTTAATAACACGGTCTTTTTTTCTTAAGAAACTGCACTGTGGTTGCAGTGTCAGATGACGTAAGCAGTTTCACACTTGTTGAAAGCTCAGTCGCAGAGACAGAACCGCGAAAATTTAAATCGTGGCGTGCTAAAAAATTAACTTATCCATCAAGATCTGTCTCATGAAAATGATTTTTTCGTTATATTACTGTTTCTATAACATTTTACGCTTTAATTTTAGACTCTAAAGAGTGTTAAGGTTGTTTGATGTTGTCATTCATAGACAGCAATTTTTTTTTCATACAGACACGCAAATATCGCTTATGTACCGCGTGATTACAAAAGATCGAATTGGTTTTGAAAAATCTGCCACTGCATTTTTAGTAAGACTTTGCCGCTTCCTTATTTCGCCAAACATTTTATTACAATGTAGGCACAAATAACATAAAAAATACTGTGTTAAGGAGTTAAGATCACCAAACTTTAGTTGCATTCAATTAGTCATTCTTACAAGAAATGTTCAAAGTGACCACTATTTCGCTAGAAGAATATTTTCACGCAAGTTGGGTTATGATGGACATTTATGTCAGGTTATGAGTAGTCAGCAATTTTAAAATCAACTTTCAAATAACTTTAATCAGCAAAACTAAAATTTGGTGTAAGTTATCATCTTATACTTATACCAATTTTTTCGTTTTCGTAAAAACTTTAAATAAAAATTGGAGGTTAAACATGCAACAATTTTTCAATGTCTAGAATAACCTAAAATTTACCAGAGTTTCAGTTTTCCGATAAATTGTTAAATTTTTTGACAGACATTAAAGTGAAACAAAATTAATGATTTCAGTTTTTCAGCTAATTCAGAAAATTATAGGTACACATTTCAGGTTAAATCTAGTTTTACAAAAATACAAATTTTCATGCTTCTAAAATTATATTTCTGTCTTATTTGTAGGGTTGTACCTAACAGTCTATTTGACTCTTAGTTTTTGAATAACAGTAAATAACTGGACACCACTAATAATTCTAACTAAGTTTTGTTGTATCTTTCAATAATTTAAGAAAATACTATTATCTGATCAAACGTTTTGAATTCTTCATTGAGCCCTATTTTTGTTGTTACAGATTTTTAAGTCGATCAGCAGGAAGTTGATTATACTGGAGTTTTTTTTTTTTTTTCATTTGGCTTGAAAATGTTTAAATTTGAACACTATTTCGGACAAAGCTCATCAATACATGGTATTATATTATTCCTGCATTATTTGAAATACTGTTTGAGTTCAAAATCTTGACTGGAATCTAATCAAGTATCTGGATTTTTCAAAAATTACAATTTCTATTTAATTAATTCCGATATCTTTAGAAAAGATACTTACAAAAGACAAAAATACGCCGTAAACAATACAGCATACTAAAAATTTTGAAAAGAATTGATCTCCGAAACATTAACATTAATATTTGTAATTAACTAAATTAAAAAAAAAGTTTAAGTATTCGAGAATTTCAGTTTTTTTTTCCAAAAATTATTACGTTTGTGTGCAGTATGTTGCGCGACCAGGACTGTTTACCATTTCTTGACATTTTTATTACACTTTTTAACCTATCAAACGTTTGAGTACTGTAAGAACTTCGAAAAGCTTAAGAAATTAGTACCACCCAGGGGTTTTGATATTTAATAAAATCCTATAAATTAGTTCATTTCTTATAACAATCAAGAACAAAATATTATTAACACCTTTTTGTTTCGTCAGCGTATAAAAAATAACATTAGTAGTACTTAATTAAAATCTTTATTCGTAGGTTTGGAGATGACGATGAAGATAACCTAATCACATCGGGTGAATCAAGTACTGACGGCCCTATGAGACCTTTTCCTGAAACTGGAGTGCCTCATCCTGTATACTACCGCGTGTCATTCACTGTGTCTGAACCATACTTACCAGATTTCGCTGATCGCAACAGTTTTAGATATAAAGATTTCAGCGATGAACTGGTAAAAGAGATTGACAACTTATACGCAGAAACACCTGGAATACAGACAGCTACAGTCATCAAAATAGAGTATGCTTCCAGAATTATTTATTTATAGGAGATTTATTAAATTTAACGTTGTTTTTTTAGGAAACGAGAAGCAGATACCTTTACGTCAAGAGTAACTATTGACTTAGGGAGTGAAGGCTACAGTAATAAAGAAGTCATGGAGAGCATTCTCCTTGGACATATAACACGTCACCACCGACTAGGAAGGATTACCGTTTTGCCCGAAGAATTTAATTTTAGAGCGTTTGAAGGTAGTTATATTTTTTGTTTAGTTTTATTTTGTTTGAGTTTGTTTGGTTTATGCTTACTTTTATTTTGTTTGATCAGAAAGCTCAAAAGTTATGTGTGGCATTGATCAGATACCTTGTCATTCGGGTGAATGCGTTTCCTCTGAAGCCCGGTGTAATGGAACTTCCGAATGTGCAGATAATTCGGATGAAACTGGATGCGGTGGTATGTTTTAATTTTTTTTTGTTTTCTTTTTTTTTGAACATGACGTTTAGTCTAAGTCAAAAACGAGAGGGATATACGTAAGGTGAGTTCGTGAATTTGGAGATTTAGCAGCAAAGCAGGTGTCGTAAATATTGTTTATTTTTGTGTTTAAATAAAAGCAAACTTCCACATAGGACCCATCTAGATACTTATTGTATCACGTGATAAAAACCACACATACATTTCTCATTTTTTTTTTTAATATTCTGCATCACTCAGGGGTCGCAATAAGCGGAATCATTTATGTATTACAGTTTCCATCATACATGTTTCTCAGAAGTAAAAAATTGAACCGTTTTTTGACAGGCAACAAAAAAAATTGTAAAAATTTAATTGTTTTTCCACATCTATTGTATGGCAACTAGATATATCTCTTTATTTAGATCATTTATATTCTTTCATTTAGTACATATAAGTGTTTTATATCATTGTAATGGTAATTAAATGATATGTCAAAATCCGTTAAAAAAGCATAGGGTTGTGTCCCGACGCCGACGTTGTATTTCCAGTGTACTAAATTAGCTTCTCCCTTCAAGTTAAAATGGTGTCTGTAAAATTTCAAAAATTCTATCTGTTCTCAAGATAAAAGGCCCCGGAATTTAATCTCGGACACCCTCAAAAAATCTACTACATAATTATAGCTACCCTTTGAGGAAGATTGTGTTGGCACCTACTATTAATACAAATCTCAAATTCACGTATAAATAGGCATAATTGTTTTAAAATTGTTACGTATTCGCTACATATATGATACTGGAAGACATAGCTTTGTATTTTGGAAATTGCTGTTAATACCACCACTGCGGTCGAAATATTAAATCGTAGGGCATCAAGTAAAAGTGCTATAAATATTTGTAATACATGATAATTGATTTGAAAGAGTAACTTTTTTGGATAGTTTTTACATTTAAATGAAGTGCATAATTTACGTAAATATTTTTGGACTTTTTTGCTTGAATACTCACGATATTGTGTCTTCATTTTTCGATCGTTTAATATTTTCCTTGTATTTTTTGAGCTTTGAGTATAATTATTTATTTTTGTTATTAATTAAGTGCAATTTTAGCTCGGCAAAATGTAAATTGCCTTTAGTCGTATGTCTGTCTTGTTATTTGTACAACCTCTGTAAATATACTATTTTGTAAATATTTAAATACATTTGAAATAAGACAAGTGCTCAGAGAAGGTGATTTGGGACTGTTCAATTTATAATTTTGTAAACCTTTGAGCAAGTCTGGTGATAATATTTCTGTACGGTATAGAATGGCTCCGCTGTTCACACAGTAGCATCCTCTTATTTCAAATACGCTTTTGTTAATTTGATATTGCTTCCGCTCTAATATTGTTTGTCTGCAGTTTTCAAATCAGTGTTTACTTACTATGTAGAAGGTGGAGGAATTTTAAGTACATACTTGTAATTTTTTTTGTAATAAGTCATTAGTCTAGTAATTAGTGCCTACCACTTTTAGTATATTTTAATAGGTCGACTCGTCTTTGGTCATGGTAAAAAACATGTTTAAAGGAGAGTTTGTCCAAAAATACGTTTTAATTTAAATTAGCTGAATCTTTTGGCGTTGAAATCACTAACACTCCTTAGCCAGTGCTGAGTGCAATAGATTATACGTTTTCGACCATAACAAATTATGTGTTAAACTCAATATTAGTTTTTCTATTCTCTTTGAAGCTAATTTGTCTCTGTACTATAATTTAGAATTCAACAATACTGGTTGATAATAATTAATTGATAAAATTTACTCCATAGATACAACTTGAATATCTTTACAATTTCTTTATAACTTCCAACAGTTTATTTCAGATTTCCTATTTTGATGAAATTCCTTTACGAAGACTACAAAACGTACCGGTAACATTCGGTAGATAAGAATCATAGATCCCTAGATAGATTAGACTTTTTCTAAAGACAGTTCTATCTGATGCACACTTTTACATGTTATAAATGTTTCATTTATGGACTTGTTTTAAACTTACGTACATATGTCTTTTTGAATGAAAACCTGAACACGAATCATTCATTTTTGAAACGGTACTTTATTTTGTAAAGCGTGTCCACAAATGTTTCCGGTATCAAGAGCGGCTTTGGCATGTCAAAAAATGTGCTTCACTGTTGCAATAAAGCGGCAAAATAATTAACAAAAAACAAAGCATTCCAGAGCCAGCATTGATACAAGAATCATTTATTGACACGTTGTATTAGTCCAACGTGAACCATATTGCCGTGCCAAAATTGAGGTTTTATAAAATCCCATGTTTTTCTTTTTGTGCAACGGTATTGTACACAAAACAGACTACATTTTCATCAAAAAATCTTAACTTGAAATTAAAATCAATAATATAGAAACTGTTGTGAACTTAACAATTTAAAAAAATTAATACTTGAAGCCTGGTGTGCTTCACACGCCCCACTGATTTCGCTTTATTACTTATATATTATATACAATATGTCTAAACAAAAACTAATCAGTAAACAATTTTATGTAATAAATTACAAATAATTTTTGTTGCAAACTCCAAACTTCTGGTGAAAGATTATTCCCAACATTAAATTAGATTAATAACTTTACTGTAAACGCTTCTAATGGGATTTTCGATTGTTATATATTACATTTTTCCAGTAACTGCAGATGTTTCGGATTTTGTTTCTATTGTAGTCGCTCTATTATTATTTGAAATATGGGCAGGTACGTAAATGGTAAGATGAATAACATTTCAATAAAAATGGAGTCAAAAATGTCATTTTTAATTTCAAACTATTTGTTGTAAGTATATGTAGTTTATTATTTTTCGAAAATTGATATAACATAATTTTTGCGGAAGTACTTCTCTAAAGATTTTCATCAGTAAAAGAAACTATCTAGTAATATACACGTGTTTTAGATACTTACTCTTGCCTAAAAGTAAGTGAGGATTTTCTGATGTTAAATGGGCAGTATTGGGGTGTGTATATGTAACCCTATCCAACATTTGATTAAAAATACATTATATGTAACTTTGCTGTTACAAAAGTCCTGTAAAGGTGGACAAATATTTTAGTTTTGTAAGAAAAACGTTTATATTAAAAATAGATGCATGCAGATGGATTATCACGTGAGCGTTTTCATTTATAGAACTTTCGATTTTTCTATTTTGATTTATATTAACTCACTCAACTTGCTGTTAAAAATTACCTGTTATTACAGGTCCATATCTCAAATAAGAAAGTAGTGATTATTTGGAGAAAAATGTGAGATGTATCTGTACTTTACATTGATTTTTTTTTAATTAAGTTAAAATTAAATTTAGTTTTTTTATCTATGTTAACCAGATGCTAATAATTAGATCTAACGTTATTTTTTAGTAACGTTTCAACGTCGTGATATGCAATGTTATTAATTTAGTAGCCTAACATTTTTTGTATATAGATTTAACTACAAGATTCAATGTGCTGTTCTGGTTATAAGTGTTATAACGTAAAGAATAACTTCATAATAACAACGCTGCTTATGGTTAAAGAGATTCAACATAACAAATTTAACAGTATCATCACAGGCATAAATCGAATTAGTTTAATGTATAGAATGACCAATGTGTATATAATTTGGTTGGCCGGCAAATTTTATATTTTTATTTGCGTCAAAAAATTATTGATATCGTCTCATTTTTGCATTAAACTTCTAGTTATACATAGTTTGGCAATAAATTTGTACCTTTTAAAGCTACTTTCACCTGATGGTTTAAAACTACTATATATATAAACTGACTTATGATAAACGTTACATCGTACATATCTCATAATTCATAACTCACATACATCCTCTAAAAATGTTTTCGAATTTTTTTGTAATTGAAAATACGCCTGTATCTAAAATATAGCTCTTATTCACATTTATTCAAATGATGTATCACGCGACCTGAAAAATAAACTTGGTTGATTTATTAAAAACTCTTCATCAAGTAGATTAATATTCCTCGATTTTTTCACATGTATAAAAGAAAATTCAATTATTGATAATAAAAGTCTGGTCTAAAACATGTAAAAAAGTGTAAGTCGAGAGTGTCAACTACAAAATGTATATATTCTAATTCCTATCAGTGTCATTAACCATAACTAGCCACCACATAGATATTCCTCGTTAATTTTTAAATTACGTTTTTAACAATTATAACTGAAAATGCTTACAGTATTGTATGTAGTTTTGCAAGTATATGTATGTTTTAAGCTCAGTTAAGTACTTAGATGCTTTTGTAAAAATGTATGCACAAATGTCGCAGTTTTAATGTTACTAACAAAATTGTTACAACTTTCGTTACAATTCATTTCGAAAGAAGGAAATTTTACTTAATCTCCACAACATTTTATATACAGGGTTAGTATAAAGTCCCGGAACAATTGAATAACTTTGTTATTTGAAAAACTTTTTAACATGGAGAATTGATTACAATATTTTTCCTTTTTTTATCGTTTTCGGTTTGACACACAAGGTCGCCCACTTTTTTTTAAGGAACACCCAGATTTTTTGACATTTTCTTATGCAGGATAAAAAACTAAGTTCAGAAATTATCAACATATTTATTTCTACTGATACAAAAAATAAAAAAGAAACAGAAAACACCTAATATTATAAAATCACGTTATCTTTGAAAATACTAAAAAATGATAAACTATGAGTAGGATTACACTAAATGTTCAAAGTGTTCTCCGTTTACAAATTGGTAGTGATGTAATCGATTAACAAAATCTCTCAATCAATTATGTATGATTTTACAACATTAGTAGGTGTTTTTTGTGATTTTTTGTATTAGTAGAAATAAACATGTGGATAATTTCTGAAAGTAGTTTTTATTCTGCTTCAGAAAATGTCAAAAAAATCTGGGTGTTCCATTAAAAAAAGTAGACGGCCCTGTCTGTCAAACCGAGATTGATAAAAAAAAGGAAAAATGTTGTAATCAAGTCGCCATGTTTAATTATATATCCAAAGCAAATTTCAGAAAAAAAAAGTTATTTCGACCATTCCGGGGCTTTATACTAACCGTGTATATTATTTTATATTCTGATCCCAATAAGCCACGACCAATGCATCGCTTTCCTTCTTTCGTTCATGTCTTTGTTAATTTTTTAATTTCTTTTATACAACCGTATCCACTTGTCTCGACAGACACTTTCGTTGATGTGCCTACATCAGCGTCCTCAACAATCTCTCCGACAACAGAAGAAGAAGAAGAACTTGGTAGTGGCTGTCGTGCTGATGATGCAGTTCGTTGTGCTGATGGTTCACGTGTAATTTGTGCCGATCAAGTTTGCGATAGAGTAAAAGATTGCGACGATGGAAGAGATGAAGCTGGTTGTCCAACTGAGCCCACTATCGGTACCGAAAAGCCAAAATCTAACAGCTTATTTGGTGCTGGGATAATATTTTAACTGCTGTTATCGTTTTTTGTTGTTGTACTGAACTTTTTTTCGAGTTTTCCTACTAAATATTCGAACTAATATTATTCATCAGTCTACCATAAATAATATAGTTACAGTAAAAATCATAATTAAAATTTTGCCGTTAACGTCAGATTAATAATACCTTAATTAATTAATATTTTAAGTTGTGGATTCATTTCTTTCTTTCCATTGCCACTTATTCACACTTTAAAAATGTTTGTTATTAATATTAATATTTAAGTTTATTTTATAAATCGTTGGTCTAATCCAGTGTTTTTTCTTTTGAACAGCCTGTGCCGAGGGAGAATTCAGCTGTGATCTATCTAGGTGTATCCCTGTCAGCAAAAGGTGTGATGGTTTTAAAGACTGCAGTGATGAAACAGATGAGAGAGAATGTATTGGTAAGTCTTTTTAATGTATGACTTATCTCTTTAGTTGTATTATTAGTTAAGTATATTAAATTCCATTCAATGATGACCCACGACTATAACAAAAAAATTGAAAACATGATTGCTTTATTGTATTGTAGTAAAAAGTCATGCTAATTTTGATTTTTAATATTTATTTGTGTGTGTTTTTTATTTTTCAGTGTGCCAATCCAACGAAATCAAATGTGACAATAACTGCATTCCACCAAACCGACTATGTGACGGAGTTCAAGACTGTACTAACGGTGTCGACGAGAACAACTGCCCTCCACCAGGTAAGTAATAAAAATGAGTCTGATCATCGTTCTATTTAAATCCTTCCAAACAAGTAATTGATGGAACTGGGGAGAATAACCTCCTCAATTAAAATTGATGTGTTTCTTATTGCTTTTAGAACAGAGTGCAAGGCAAAACTAATTTGTAAACCGACCACACATTGAGTTCCTCTAGTCAGCATATTTGCATCAGACTACTTACGAGGAAATTGTTTTACATAATAAAAAACAACCTATAAAAATAAAATTTAATTTGCAGTAGTTGACCCAATGATGCAATGAACTAATAATAACTCTACAGGATATTTTAGAATTCTTTGTACTCATATGGTTTACTTGAAATATGCAAAGACAAAATGTTAAATCAATTTCAGCGTTTAATTAATTTTAAATTAAAAAAAGTACAAAAATGTTTCGCAAAGAATATTAATAAAATGTGTTTAAGCGTGGCTTAGTATTCTGTTATACTTCAAGCATTTTCTGGACTACCTAGATATGTTACCTGTTATTAAAGCTGTGTTCATTATTCTTGTAAATTAAATTCCTAGCATATTTTAAATATATGTTTCTGATGAAATAAAAATCGATTATCCTAAAAACTACAGCGTCAGTCTTTGTTGCTAACGGATATCTCCAAAATATAGTGCAAGTTTTGTTTTAAATATAATTCCGTTATTCACACATCGTAAGATTTAAATCATCATTTCAGAGAGAATCAATTATTATTATTTATCTGGCATTTTTCCAGACTTGACGCTTAAACTTGGTAGTCAACGGGGCACGCTTCCAAAACTCGATTGCTATATTATTGAAAATATGCATATATGTTCATTGCGTACGAATAGATTTTATTTTTTTTTACAACTTCATGCTGGTCTATTCTTTCTGAAATTTCTTGATTTCGTTGATAGGGTGGAAATAATTTGCAGCACAGCTACTGTTTAAGTCTACAATATATGCTCTCTGAGATATGTGTTTCTAATTCTTTTCAGTTGTAAACATTTTGTGAATATACATAATTTTGGACTCCAAAAGGCACCGTTATTGCTTCCACATTTTAAAATATTTAGGTATGGGTTTTATATTTAAAAATTAAACAAAAAAACTGAAATACACTTTACATTCCTATGACATGAGGTGCCATATGAACCTTATCATATAGAGGAAGATTTTGGGTATATATTTTAACTGGCGACGGGAACCGAAATTTAAAATTGTTAAAAACGTTAAATTAATTAGGTATAAATATTTTTGTGTTATATTTTAAAAACGATTTTACAATAAATACATAAAGCCTGGACAAAATTATCATTTCCATATAAGCAGTTTGAATTTGGCTTGGGGGAAATATGTAGAGCATAGTTTTCTCGGTTAAATTCTAGCACTTTGTTTTCTTCGTTTTAGGTAGTAGCAACTTTTTTGTGGAAAAATGTGTATAGAGGCTTTTTCACGGAGAAGATACACCAAAGTTAATAGAAATTTTAATGAAATATCCTGTATATTTTTACATTTTTGTTACATGTAAAAATGATGTTAGATGTAAGGCTTCTTTGTTTGAGAATTTCAAAGATATTTACATAAATATTCAAACTGAAAGCCGAGAACCTGTTGAACATTCTGCAGTTATCATAGAATTATTTCGGACCAAACCCTGCTTTAGTTTATGAGAAACTGCAGAAGAACACAAATCTGAATTCTTTATGGCTTAATTACGATTAATTTTTTGTTTAGTTTGTTCTTTTATTCATTAATTTCTTATACATCCTAAACAATATAAATGTGTATTTAATTCCAGTTTTGGTGGAAAATCTTTGTACTTGCTATAACTCTCAAACACTTGTTAGCTATTTATATATTCCTTCATCGTTTGCCTATTTTACTAAAAATAGCGCTACTTGCCTCTTATTATCGTTATTATTTTTTTATTACAAAAAAAACATGGAGTAGAGGTCAGCGACCTATTATCCTCCGTAAAAATAGATCCAATGTGATAGGATAGGCATACAGTTTACCACCATCGGCAAAGAAAGCGTGTTTTGCGAAATTAAACAAGATAGACCTTATATATAGAGTGTTAAAAGCAATGGACCAAACACAAAACCCTCCGAAAGACTATACACAACTACCCGTTCACAGGATAAATCGCCTGCTATGACAGGCACCTACGACCATAAAAAAATAATTTAATCCATCTGAACGATTCCCTTTTTGCAAATTCTGGGCTAAAATTTCTTGAAAACACTCATTCTTTTTGCATCGAATCACTTAGTAATATCCATGTAGGTACTTTTTTTTTCAGATAAATTAATTGAACGATTTGTATCTAATTTATGACATTTGGCAAGTTCTTCTTAATTCTATTTATTGTCTGAAGGGGGATTTATTTTTAACTGCATCATCGTCAATAAAGTTCTCGTCGATCCTAACAGTAAAGTTTCACTTTGTCTTGAGCATGAGAACATGACTTTTGATATTGTATCCATGACAGTTAAAACTAATTTTTCAACAGGTGTGTTTTTCTCCACAATTTTCTTCTGTAGAACAACATGTAAATTATTTACACAATGACCACTTGAATTTTGTTGTATTTAACGATGTTGTGTTTTGGGCAGCGAATTGTTTTCAACAAGTTCGGTTGATCGAAAACGCGACTTGCTTATTTTCGAAACGAAAAAAAATGTTTATTTACATTATAAATTGCTTTCCCATAAGAACACTATCTGCTTTTTAAATTGTATAAACTTTTTTTTGGGTAAGTATTCTTATTCGTGGCAATATCCTCTGAGTTATGTTTAAATGAATCGTCGATAACACTGTTTAAATTATCACTGATGATATAAGTATATATTGTCCTTGAAAAATGTTATTAATCTGTTAAATTTCCATGTCTCAAATAACGTCGTAAACAGTTTCCCCTAGGCTTCAACAATTCGACAGAAATTTGTACCCGTGTACAATTCGAATGATTTATGTGGAATACTGCGCGTTCCCATTAAGGAAATATTAACGTAGGGTTTAGAAACAGAAGAAATAAAACGGTCGAGTTTGTATTATCCTGGGACAGTGATTTGTCGCTGGGACTCCGCCTTGTGATTGCCACCCCCTGTTGAGAGGGTAATATGTCCGGATTGTAATCATACTTTATTCATATTACAATATGGCGAAGCTCTGAAATAGTCGCCTAAACATGATCTGGTCAAATACCGAATGTAATTCCAGCTTTTTATTTGGTTGCGTCATGTGATGGCTTTTTTTATTCGCGCCCTTTTACTGCAGATTTTGTTTGCGCAATGATGAGATCAGTGTTTAAATAAATTTTATTACTTGAAACCTTGCATGAGCGTTATTTGTTATGACCCCAAAAATTTCTAAATTAACTGTAAACGTAAAGTTAACGACACATCAAACTGTATAGCTTAGATTTCAGGTATTTTAAGTACGATAAAGTAAGCAAAACTTTCTTAAAATAACTATGGATGCAGACGGGAAATATGGCAATAACTTTTTGATTGAGTAATAAGGAGCCAGAGAAAGGAAGAGTTTTGCTTAATTTTTTTCCAAGTTAACTTGATTTTGTGCTCAATTGGTTACACAATGTGGAATTGTTAGTTTAATTACTATACAAACATAACAATAACGTACCAATTTTGTTCAGTAACGGATTACGTAACTTGTCATAAATACTTTCATTAATTATTGTTGCCATCATTCGCCAAGTTTAAATCAGTTAACATGAGTTTTATAGAGATTAAGAAATTGTGATAAATCCCATCACACAAGCAGCTTTTCAATAAAAGTAGTGTAGAACTAGTATGTCTTCAGGATTTTGAAAATTTAAGCATCATTTTTTCGTTCGTGTGTATCGAAAAAAAAATAACGCAAAAATGTTCAATTTTAATGATAATATTATTTCATTTGTTTGTTACAAGATTTACTGCTCGGTATAAATAATTATTGAAAGCTTTTTTTATTACCTAGGTATTTTAAAAGTGTTGGAGGTAAAGTATCGAAACTTTCTCTGCATACATAATTACCAAAAGAACGAGAACTTCTCAAGTTCTTGGATGTACATCTTGCGGATAAAGCAAACTGTAATTTAATATCAAAATCGTAAATTATTACACGTTCTTACTAGTTAAAAGTCAGATTTTACACACAAACTCTTGCAGGACGTGAACCAAAATTGGTCATTATTACATTCCAGCAATTAAAAAAAAAACTTTTTTCTATACATTATAGGAAGACTTAATTAATAATTTAATTAAAACTAAGTATTAATTTACGAGGTCTCCCGTCTCAGTACAAAGAGGTAATATTTTTAATCTCTTATTAAGTACCAAATGCTTAGAAATTAATAGTTGTAACAAAAAATTAAAGTAACTGACAATTAAATATATACCATTTGTTAAGGATTCTGGTAGTGTCCTAAAACACAATACAAAAGAAAAGACCAATCGATTTATTTATTCAGTATTAAATAATAGTTAGCTCTTATTTTAAGACCTTAAGTTATTTATTATATGCATATTCAACGTGTAAGAACTCTGGATTTATAACCACTGTATAACCAAAGAAAATTTGCATTAAACAACACTTAGATCTAATTAACACATAATATGAATATGAATAAAGGGGAAATTTAATCTATAGTGTTTTCATTGAAACCTGCACAACTTATAGGATCTGAAACAATCAAGTTTCTTGCTCTACATCGGAATAAAGAAATTACATCATCTGACCAAAAAATTAAACTCCACTCTCATTCCACTGGGAAAATTAGTTTTGCTTTGTTTATTAGAAACTCTCTTGACATGTTATCATAGCAACTTCAACTCACTGTTATTATGCGATATTCTTTTATGGTGTAATTCATCTAGTGCATTTTTAAAATTCAGAAAAAAGATTTAAGGATAGTTTGTAAAATTAATTCAAGAACCTTTTGTGAACATTTTTTTCAAGCTCTAAATATATTAATACTTGTTTTGTTTATCTACTGTACT